TATATATATATATATATATATATATATACACATATATACATATATATACATATACGTATATATGTATATATACAGAGAGAGAGAAAGAGAGGGTATGAGAGTGTCTATCTGGGCCATAGTAAACACAGAAATTTTGCTAGCTATGTTTTGTATTTAATAAAAATCTCATTGAAACAAAATAACTTTAGTTCTCTTAAAAGAAGCTGAAATTGTAAAAGAAACCAACAGATGGGATTTCCTGGCATCACTGCAGTCCACAGCTAAGCGGCGCTGCCTAAAACTATACTGTTTTTCTGCTTTTAACCCACTTCTTCAGTCCATGTAGTTCTGTGATGATGTCACTGAACCTCAAATAGGGCAGGACCCCCTCCACAACCTAGGACAGTCAGGTGGAGTTCTGTGATGACCACCAACAGCTTTAATGCTGAGAGACCACATTCTCATTATTGACTCAGCATTTTTACTTGATATTTATTAATATGATTCAGAGATGACTATATAAACTTATTTTTGACAAATTGTAGTACTTTGACTCAGACTTAAGAATAGTTAGCTAGGGGAAGTTTTGTCCAGCCATTTTTTCTTTTGAAATCAGTTTTTCCCCCTAAAATGTGAAGATTGTATTGAATAATCTTTTAAAAGCCTCTTCACTTCTGAAATTCCATTTGAAGCAACTTATCTCTATGCTTACAGCTATGTTTATTTGATATGATAACTGTTTTGTCACTTAATTCTCTTACCTGCCACATGGGCTTCATTGTGTTCTCCCCTGCCTTGTGGCTTTCTCCTACAGCCAACTGAGTTCTATGTAAAGTGTGTTTGGTGCTGGCTTGTTTATGCCCCCCCCCACTTTAAAGGCATATTTCATTTCTCTTTATTAGCACTTGCTATATCTATATGTCATGCAATACCTGTCATATTGTACTGCTTTTATTCCCCTTTTATACCTCTGCCCCCTCATACGTTTTAGTGTCTTCCTTGGTTTTAATGTAGGTACAAGATAATTCATTAGGATGGCCTTAGAAACATGATTGTGGGACTAGATGAGTCATGAGAGTTGTGCAGAAGCTACCATTGTGTCACTTAACATCTAAGAATTCTCCAGTTACCAAATAGGAAGAATATGCAAAAATAAATCACAAGGGAATCAAACAGTAACCAAATGAGTCCAGGTAAGGGACAGTGAAACCTGAAGGAAGAATCTAGATTAAAGTCCGGGTTGAAAGTGTAACTTAAAATCGAGGGACATGGACTCTTGAATCAATGATCAGGGGATGTAAGATGCTATTAGCATAATGAGAGGGTCCTACCAGCTCTCACTGTGGTGATGAAAATTGTCTGGAAACCTTAGGACTCACATCTTGCTAACATTTCTCAGTCTCAGGGCCCTGAGAAAGTGAAGTTCACATCTCTTAAGGTCATTTCTTGGGATGATATTGTTTGTTTAGTGGATGTCTTGAACCAGAATTAAATATGGAAGCAATGAAATAATTTACACAGAATAATTTTATTATGTTAAATTTAGATACTAAATTTAACTGATTAGCCTTGTGATTCTAATTAAATTGCATAATTTGTTTAGAATCATGATCACTTGTGTACTGTATTTGTAAATTGTCAAGTGTTTAGTATTGGAATTGTTTCAATAAATTTTCATTTTTAAGAACCTTAGTTTCGCTACACTTAGCTTGTAAGAGTTAAATATTTGGAAAGGCTCATTTGCAATCAGACAATGGATTTTGAAATCCATATTTTGAATAGTTTTTTTCATCGGTGGAATTTATTTTTGAGGATTGAAGTCAAGGCCTCAAAGCTTATTATTTGAGTTAATTAAATTATTGTTATTTATATTTTTGGTCAGCGTCTGGGCTTTAACTTAGGGGCCTTAATCTCACTTAGCTTGTTTGCATGATTGGTTCTCTACCACTTGAGTCATGCCTCCAGCCCAGAATTTTCCCTAGTTAATTAGAGATGTAATCTCTTGGCAGGTTTTGAAAACATATTCTTTAGATCTGGAAAGCCTCCAGATTTCAGATTCCTAAGTAGTTTACAGGTGTAAGCCACCAATGCCAAGTTCAAAGTTTAAAATTTTAAAGAGACTTTTAAGTTGCAAGGGCTCACTTGAAATTGTTTAAAATTTAGTAGATTTAGGTAGGCACTGTTGTCTTATGCCTGTAATCCTAACTACTCAGAAGACTAAGATCTGAGGGTCATGGTTCAAAGCCAGCCTAGGCAGAAAAGTCTGTGAGACTCTTTTTTTTTTTTCCTGTCGATCATGGGGCTTAAACTCTGGGCCTGAGTGCTGTCCCTCAGCTCTTCAGCTCAAGGCTAGTGCTCTACCACTTGAGCTATAGTGCCACTTCCAGTTTTCTGGTGGTTTATTGGAGATTAGAGTTTCACGGTCTTGCCTGGGCTGGCTTTGAACCAAGATCCTCAGATCTCAGCCTCCTGAGTAGCTAGGATTACAGGCGTGAGCCACTGGTGCTTGGCTGTGAGACTCTTATCTCCAATAAACTACTCAAAAAAGTCAGAAGTGGAGCTGTGTGGTTCAAGTGGTAGAGCACTAGGCTTGAGCAAAAGAAGCTCAGTTACAGTGCCCAGGCCCTAAGTTCAAGCTCTAGAACCAGCAAACAAGCAAACACCCCTCTCCCAATTTAGTAGATTTACAATGTTAGTTGAAGAGATAGACTTTTTTTTTCTTTCTTTTCTTTTCTTTTTTCTTTTTTTGTCAGTTGTGGGGCTTGAAATCTGGGCCTGGGCGCTGTCCCTCAGCTCTTCAGCTCAAGGCTAGTGCTCTACCACTTGAGCTACAGCGCCATTTCTGGTTTTCTGAATGTTTATTAGAGATAAGAGTTTCACAGGGGCTGGGAAGGTGGCTCAGTGGTAGAGCACTTGCCTTGCATGCCTGAGGCCCTGTATTCCTCAGCACCACATAAGCAAAAAGAAAAAAGCCGGAAGTGGCACTGTGGCTCAAGAGGTAGAGTGCTAGCCTTGAGCTGAACTGCTGAGGGACAGCTCCCAGGCCCAGAGTTCAGGCCCCACAACCGGACCCCCCCCCCAAAAAAAAAAAGTTTCACAGACTTTCCTGCCGGGGCTGGCTTTGAACCATGATCCTCAGATCTCAGCCTCTTGAATAGCTAGGATTACAGGCATGAGCCACCAGCGCCCAGCAAGACAGACTTTTGAATGAGAAATTGTAACTTTCATAATATTAGTCTTCTAAAACTAAAGAAGCCCGTGAATAAGCTCTTTCTTTTTACTGTGCACAAAACCATTTGCTATGTGACAAAAAACATGTTTAGTAAATATGTGAGGCACATAATTCGATGTTGTACTATTCTCCAAAAGCAGCCTATAATTTTTTCACTTCTTAGAAAATAGTCACCTTAACATCAAAATATAGTCTGAGCATTCATTTTGGGTATCTTGGACTCTTTACACTGAGCTACATCCCTAACCCTTTAACTTTTTTTGTTGTTGTTGTCGGTTGTGGGGCTTGAACTCTGGGCCTGGGCGCTGTCCCTCAGCTCTTCAGCTCAAGGCGAGCGCTCTACCACTTGAGCCACAGTGCCATCTCTACCACTTGAGCCACATTGCCACTTCAGGTTTTCTGGTGGTTTATTGAGATAAGAGTCTCACAGACTTTCCTGCCTGGGCTGGCTTTGAACCGTAATTCTCAGATCTTGGCCTCCTGTATAGCTAGGATTATAGGCGTGAGCCACCGGCACCCAGTACCCTTTAACTTCTTAAAGAACAGAATCACTGTACTCACTCAGAATTGTCCAGAGCTTCCTGATTTCATATGTGATTCCCATCCAGTTCTTGGGATATGTATGGGGTCTTTGTTTCTTTCTTTCTTTGCCATGAAGATTAATGTACTAATTATGTGAACTATAATCTTTATTTATATTCTACTTTTCCCTAATTACCTGTGTTACCAGATGCATGCTATTAATATTTTCCACTTCATATTAAAATAAAGGAAACAGCTAGTTCAAAAGTTAGTCAGATGCAGACCTTTTTTCTCTCTGCTGGGGTTGGTCTTTTGAATGATGCCTGGTTTTGATATGTGTTTTTCAGTGTTATTCTTCCACTTCCTCAGAATGTGAAGGATTATTTACTCGATGATGGAACTCTGGTGGTTTCAGGAAGGTAATGTATATCAGAACAAAATTCTTTAAATTTTGTCATAAAGAAAGGTAATGATTAAATCTCAACATTTAGTATACAAAACAAATCAGTTAGTTCACCATTCTCTTGCTAACAAGGTGCCTTGTCAACACTCAATTTATAGTTTCAAAATTGAATATTTTCCCCTCTAATAACAACTAGTTGTCAAGTTGAGCAATTTTCTCTGATCTCTGTGTTAGAGTAGGGCCTTTTCCTCCCTCCCTCCTTCCCTCCCTTCCTTCCTTCCTTCCTTCCTTCCTTCCTTCCTTCCTTCCTTCCTTCCTTCCTTCCTTCCTTCTTCCTTCCTTCCTTCCTTCCTTCCTTCCCTCCCTCCTTCCTTCCTTCCTTCCTTCCTTCCTTCCTTCCTTCTTTTCTTCTCTTCCTTTTTCCCTTATTTTTATAATGCTTAGGATAGAACCCAAGGGTCTTGCCCATAATAGACAGTGGTCTACCATTGAGCTCCCCTTCTCCCTTTTTCTTTTTTTGTCTTTTCTTTTTTGGTACTGGGGATCGAACCCAGGACATTGCACTTGCTAGCTAAGTGCTTTGCCACTGAGCTACATCCCAGCCCCTCCCTTTTTCTTTAAGATAGGGCTTCTCTGTTTAGCCCAGGATAGCCTTGAACTTATTCTCCTCTCCCTGCTTCCCTGGGGATGAGATTATCAGCATAAACCACCATGCCTGGCTGATTATACAATTTTCTTCTGAGGGTAACAGAAAGATGGGCAGGGCATATCCTTTTGAGTTTATATCTTCTGTTTTTAGAATAGAATGTCATTGTCTACTGCAAATAAAGCTATACAAGAGATCTCATTTTTATACCTCAGCATATTGTCCTCCATAGTTGATCTGTCATGGCCCCTTCCACATCTTCCATCGCTGTTTAGGTGGTTCCTGTTTTTGTAGGGAAGACAGAAGGGTCTTAGTCCACTATTTTCTGGTAGCATACTGTCATTAATTCCATATATATATATATATATATATATATATATATATATATATATATACACATATATATAAAATAAAGTACATAATTATATGTTATAATTATATAATGTTATAATCATACATAACAGTATATAATTATGTAAGATATAATTATGTAAGGTATTTTATATGGAATTAATATATAATATATTTTTGAATTCTCTCAAAAAATGAATTCCTTATATAGTTCTCCAGTTCTTTTTTTTTTTTTTTTTCTGGGTCCGGTCATGGGGCCTGAACTCTGGGCATGAGCGCTGTCCCTCAGTGTCCCTCAGCTCTTCAGCTATCTCTCCAGTTCTAAGGATGCTTTTCTGAATAAACTCAGTATGGTTGAAATTATGACTACATAGCACCAGGTCTTTTTCTCCTGTAATTTTTGCTTTATATTTTTTAGGGAAGAGCCACCAACACCTTCTCACCCGGACAGTGATGATGAGGCTGAAGAAATACAGGTTGGTAGAAAATAGTCTGTTCTGTAGACTATTGTAATTTAAAGTCTTAATTTTTGCATGGTATAGATTATGTTCAGGGAAAGATACATCATTTTTAGGTGGAACATTGCCTTTGGAATCCAAGTTCAATATTGAAACTGAATGTTTTGTTTCTGTCCTTTTCTCTATGCAGTGGTCTGATGATGAAAACACAGCCACACTTACGGTAAGAACAAAGCAGTACCAGCACCACGCCAGCCTCACAGCTTTCATGAGTGTTAGTCCCAAGGGTTAATGCCTGCTGAAACATCTACTAGTCTTTGGGCTATTATTTATTATTCTGAAAAGTAACTGTAGTCATTGTTTAGCAGGAAAAAATGCCTTTTCTTCTTGATTAAAACACATAGCTAATGCTTTGCCTTAATTTTTCTGTTATGCTTTGGGTTTGGGCATATTGGCCTTTTTTTTTTAATCTGTGAAAATAGAAGAATGAAGCCTGTTGGAACTGTTGTAAGAAGTAGTGAGAGGCCGGGCGCCGGTGGCTCATACCTGTAATCCTAGCTACTCAAGGAGGCTGAGATCTGAGGATCATGGTTCAAAGCCAGCTTGGGCAGGAAAGTCTGTGAGACTCTTATCTCCAATAAACCACTAGAAAACCAGAAGTGGCACTGTGGCTTGAGCTGAAGAGTGCAGGGACAGCGCCCAGGCCCAGAGTTCAAGCCCATGACTGACAAATGAAAAAAAAAAAAAAGAAGTAGTGAGAGGGCTAAGGACCAGTGGCTCACATCTGTAATCCTAGTGACTCAGAAGGCTGAGATCTGGGGATCACAATTCAAAGCCAGCCCAGGCAGAAAACGCCCATTAAATTCTTGTCTCTAACTAAGCACAGAGAAAAAGAATAGAAAAAGAAGCCAGAGGGTCTGGGAAGGTGGCTCAGTGGTAGAGCGCTTGCCTTGCATGCCTTAGGCCCTGGGTTCCATTCCTCAGCACCACATAAGCAAAAAGAAAAAAAAAAGCCGTAAGTGGCACTGTGGCTCAAGTGGTAGAGTGCTAGCCTTGAGCTGAAGAGCTGAGGGACAGTGCCCAGGCCCAGAGTTCAGGCCCCATGACCGGACCCAAAAAAAAAAGAAGCCAGAAGTGGAGCTGTGGCTCAGGTAGTAGGGTACTAGCCTTGAGTGAAAAAGCGAAGGGAAAATACTTTGAGTTCAAGCTCCAGCATCAGCACAAAAGTTATGGGGGGAAGCAGAGAGAGTGTGAAAGAGAGTAATAGAGGAGGTAAGGCTAATTGGGATGCATTGTATACATGTATGGAAATGACACAATGAAACCTCACATGTAGAACTAAGGTATGTTAGTAATAAAAATATTTTTACAGCATAGATGAAATGATTAACCAAAACAAAACAATTTTTTTTTTAGTGCCGAAGATTAACCTGAGGGCTGCAAACATACTAATTGAATAAGAGATATAGCATCCTCCACTCCCCACATGTATCTCTTATCACAGATAAAGCTTCTTAAACCTTGAAAAAGTCTTTTTTAAAATAAAAAGTACCAATAAACCAGCAGAAAACTGGAAGTGGTGCTGTGACTCAAGCAGTAGAGTGCTTGCCTTGAGCTGAAGAGTGCAGGGACAGGGCCCAAGCCCAGAGTTCAAGCCCCACAAACAACAAAAAAAGAAGACGGACCAAAAAAAAAAAGCGTATTCATTTCATTTGAGTCCAGCCTTCATGACTTAATTGCTTCCCAGAGAACCCATCTCTTAATTTTGCTACCTGGGGCTTAGAATTCACCATGAATTTTGGAGGGGCACAGATATTCCAATCAGAGCAGAGTACATGTGCACACATGTGTATGTTTTCCACATTCTGTGCACCAAGGTGTGGAAAGAGTGACATAGGTCTGCACAGTGAGCATGGGTTGAGCCCTGGTTTTGACATAGGAATACCATTTTCTGCCAAACTAAAGCTTCTTGGAGGGATTCAAGACTGAGGTTGGGGCAGTAAAAGTTCAACCCCTGTATACCCGCCTCAAAATTGAAGAAATCAAAGGAACATAGATGCAATGACATTCTTTTAAGTAATTAGTAGATACTGCTTTTAACCACTCTGGATGACAGACTTTTTCCTTGTCGCATAATTGGCCTCAAGCTCTCTCATCTTTGTCATTAGCCTCCTGCTTAAACTGTTTCCAGGGCTGGGGTCAGCTTAGTGGTAAAGTACTTGCTTACTGAGCACGTATGAGGCCCGGGAACCGATCCCAGCACCACTAAACAAAAACCTGGCAACAAAAAACTATCTCTAGTTTGGAGATAGATTATCATCTTTTAAATTTATGTCTACGATTCATTGCTAGATTTTGTCAGAATTTTTTTCCCTCGAAACTGGCCTAAGTGGAATTATTTTTGGAGTGTGGTTAATTCCAAGCCTACTCTAGCTCCAGCAACTCCCCCCACCTCCCCCCATACCTTTTGAAGTTATGCTAGCACTTCCTCCCTCTACCTTGAACTTAAGGGGATATTGCGGCACAGTGTCTGTGGAGCACTATGGTGATTTCTTTGTGCTCTGTCTCTCCTGAGCATTGGCTTCCCCTCTTCCTTTTTCTTCTCTTCTGTTCCCCTCAACTGCAGGCAGTGCATTCTGGTAATCATGCTTAAGTTTCTTTTTATCTAGAGTATTTCTAGTACTTCATGGTTGAAATAAATACTTAGAAGGTTTCAGTCACTTGTATACATTTAGTATTTATTTTTTTTACATCTACCAGAAAGAAAGGATATTTTATCTTGACCAGTGCCCTATTTTGGAGTTTTATTTATTGTCAAATTTGTCTGGAAGTGTTTAAACACAAATTTATTACAGTTTATTTTCATTCTAATGAAACATTTTGAGGACCTGTCACAACTCTCTTCCTACAAATGCGAAAGCTGTGGTGTCATAATTTGAGCTGCTCAGGAGGCAGAGGGAGGAAGATTGTAGTCACTAGCTGTTCATGCCAAAGCGCAAAAGTCTATCTGAAAAAGTAAAAGCTAAAGGACCTGGATGTGACTCAAGGCTCTGAGATGAGTCCCCTGTATAGGGAAGGTGGAAGAAAGCATGGTGTTGTTCCTGAGGCCTGCAGTACATGCACAATTGTTACTCTACCTGTCTCCTTCTACTCCATGAACACCGGATTTATGTCATGTACAGAAAGAACCATTCATTCTATCCTCACATCCCAGCTGTGTGGTGACATTTGCCTGACTACATTTGTGGGGCTTCAATTGTTTTGTAGAGTGTCATTTTATGTTCCCTTTCTGCTACACATTATTTTATTACTGACTCTTTTTTTTTTTTTTTTTATTGTAAAGATACTATACAGAGGGTTACAGTTACATGAGTGAGGTAATGAGTACACTTCCTCTTGAACATT